AATTTTAAGCAGCCTGATCTTGTTCCTGTTGGAGAGGATCAGAAGCAACATCTTGAATTGACACGAGAGCTTGCAGAACGCGTTAACTATTTATATGGAGGTAAAAAATGGAAGAAATTGGGAGGGTAAGTGAACATGATTTGCGCACTCTTGCACAAAAAATACTACTGTAAAATATAACCACTAAGCCAACCTAAAACTGAATATTTGGTATTTGAGCTCTATTTGACAAATATAAATGAGAGTTCTGCTTTGATAGGTGTGTCAGATATCTAGCAATATATGGCATTTTTGCATGCTTGCGGCTGGCCATGACTAGATATGGCTAAAATTTATGTTTTACAAATATTCTTTCCACACCCCGCACCACAAAAAAGACCCTTGTACATTTTTTGTCCCAACAATGAGTACTATTTCAATTACAAGTTAAATGTGATATTTATATAAGTAGGATTTCATGCATTATTATCATCGTAAATTTCCAAAACTAAATTGTTGTACCTTGACCAAAAATGACTTCTCTTGAGACAGGTAGTTTCATTTTTTTTTAATCATTTTAGTTCTCATTTTCTTCTTGAATTTATTTGAGAACTAATGGTTTTCCCCCCATGCAACAGGCGAAATGGTCCGTTATTCAAGGTCATTTTTTCTCATGCTTTTCTGTTATCCTAGAACATGTTCATAGTTGGCATGACATTCACAGGATCAGTTTCATCCATGTAGGTACCTGAACCCCTTATTCCACCTGCTGGAGCTCGAATAATGTCTCTTACTGATGGCCTATCAAAGGTTTAAAAATAAAATTAGTTTTTTTATCTACTATCTTAGCCATTTCCAGTTAGCATAACATGTATAACTAACTACCCATGAGCCAAATTCCCCTCGCCCCCTTTCTCCAAGTTCTAGTCTTTCCCTCCCCTTCCTTTGAACCAAACACACTCTAAGATGAAACTTATAGATTGTTGTCATAAACATTAACCAAGAACTGAACTTGTAAGTGGCGAGGTATCTCTTCAAGGACCTTAGTATATTGTTTTTTTCTTGGTGTGGCGTGGTTTTATGTTGCAACCTATCATTCATACCGTCCCCACCAAACAATATGTGATGTTTTATGTATCTTTACTATTCGAGTAAATATTCGTTTTTAGTGACAACGTTTATTTATGTACTGATCGATCTTTATTCTTAGATGTCAAAGTCAGCACCTTCTGACCAATCTCGTATCAACTTGCTTGATCCAAAAGAAGTGAGTTCACTGTTTTATTTTCATGATCGGCTTTTGTTTGTGAAGGTTTCAATGAATGCTGTTTTTAAGCTGCCATGTAAAGCTACGAGAATTCAGAACATATAAAACTAATTCAATTATTGTTTATATGCTCTTAGTTCAATGCTTCTTTTGTAGGCAATATCAAATAAGATAAAACGATGCAAGACTGACTCATTTATTGGGTTAGTATTCTTTATTTGATATGTTAAATTAATTCCACAAATTTTTTAATTAAAACTAAATTATTGTCTGCTATTACATGCTTTCAATTTTGTCTTAATCTACTGTTTGTTATCCTTTTTTATGTATATTGATCCAAGAAAGAATTGCACTATTTTTACTGATTATTATAATGTCTTTTGCCATTTACCTGTCTTACACATTTCAGCTTGGAATTTGACAATCCTGATAGACCGGAATGCAACAATCTTCTTTCTATTTATCAGCTTGTATCAGGCAAGACAAAGCAGGTAACAAGTCAAGCTTTTTATATTCATCTATTTTTTTCTGAAGTTTTAAATTCGACTACATCATATTATTTCAAGCATTCTCTCCTATTTTGGTCACTAGATTTTCTTTTCTTCTTCTTTTTTGCAATATCATCTTAATTGAGTCCCTTGCAGATTCATTGTTGTTAATTCAGCCCATTACAGATTCATTATTATCAATTCAGCCCCTTACATATTCATTCTAACTTCTTTTGTTACTTTTTATGTTTTTTAGGGCTGTTGCTTTTCATTTTTAAAATGTAATCCATCAGATATAAAGTTGTTCACATTTACCTCTCATATGCATTCATTCCCATTTAGTTTCTCATTGAAACATTTTACACATTTACAGGTTCATCACTCACTTTAATTTCTTTTTCTTTAATTCGTTTAGAAATGAAAGTAATAAATTTGTAGCACATATAATTGTGATCATTATCATCAATAGCAACACCTTAAGCCAAACTACATTGAGGTAGGTGCCTTGGTGGCATGAAATTTAGTTTTAGTGCCCATTAAGTTTCTAACATAATTTTATTCTATTTTAACGCAAAAATTAGTGGCAAAGTTATAAGCTCAATGCTCTTGTTGTCACAACCTTCTAAAGAAAGAATAATGTAGTAGCATAACCTTGTCTACGCTTGCATGAAAAATATTATGAGACGACAACTAATTGAACAGCGCATATTTGAGAGGCCAAACTAGTAGTTTACACTTGAAATTTCAGGTGGGGCTGACTTGGGAA